AGTGAATATTAACGTAAACATAAACAAGAAGAAAATAATAAAAGTACAACCCTGAACTTTGGCTTTTGGGATTAACTTTGGTTCCCTCTACAGCCAGGGTATTTTCGGAATCAGTAGCCTATGATTTTTATTTATTTTTTTATGCATGTTAAAGCAAATCTTGATTTATGGTTATTTACTGAGGGATTTGCATTCATATAGACCAGAATGTCCATCTAAATATCATTTTAAATTCAATATAGCCTATAAATCAATAGTCAATCAATGTCAAATTGCCAATACATTGGTTTATATCTTGCATAATTAGTGCAGTTAGTGAGTTTTTAACTACACTGAGACTAGATAATCAGTGTCTTTATAATGTGTACTTTGATTGGGAGTGCCATCATTCACGTATTGTAGCTACAGTATTTCTCTGGTCTCCACATTTCTGCTTGAAAAATGCGAGTTTCATTTCGTGCACGCGCATATGAACGCAACACACGCGACGCGGTTATGTTTTCCGAGCTGCAGTAAACAAACACTGTTGTTGCACTTTGTTGTTTATCAAAAACAAAACGCAATAAATTATGGTATTTTACTCTCACTTTTGTCAGGCAAAAAGTGATGCAAGAGATGCACTGCCTGCCCAGACAAACCATCAAACTTTACTGACACTAGAGAGGAGAGAACACAAGTTTACCTGACTGCTGTTCCCGCAATTCACTCTCTTGTTTTTCTTCTTCCTCTTTTCGTGACGAGAAGGATAGTTTCGCTTCATTTTGTCATGGACTTCGTACACATTAATTAGCGCGCGACACGAGATGGAGGCGCGGCCTGAGTAATTTGCGGTGCCTTACCATACGGTCGCGTGCAGTCTATGGTCTCGTGGAAACAGTTTGACTTTCTAATTTTTTTTTTTTTTGGAAGTGAATGAGGCTTTGCGATTTTTATATTATTTTTTGTCTAGGCCTACGTGAAATTCTACATCCATTGTACGATTTTTTTTTTTCCTCAGAAGGGCAACCTGAGTCGAGATGGGCATATGGGCAGTTGCCCGGGCAACCTGAGCAACCCCCCTGTGCACGTCCCTGCTGCACATACTTTTGAAAATCCAGCGTTTCGTTTTCAGGTGACCTGTTAAAGAACGCAAGCAACCCACATCTTCCAGGAATCCTGTAGAATTCAACCAATCAGATGACAACTTCGAAACTCCCAAATTTAGGGCTTGGGTTTGAATCAGATTTCCAGATTAGAATTTGATTTACAAGGTCTCAATTCAATTCGATTTTCAATTGATTTAATTTATAAGTTCCACTGGTCTCACCACACAAAAGAAAGAAATGAATAAAATAGTTATTGTTTTTGTTTATTTAATTGTAATAAATAAGGTTATGACACCAAAATTGTAGATACCAGTGAAATTTCACAATTCCCTTTAACCGACTAGGATACTAGCCAAGACAGGCATTTAGAGATAATTTTGTGTGAACTTGTCCGTTCAAGCACTAGAAGAGGATGTTAAAGAGAAGTGATTTTATTGTTTGCATGCTGTCTGAGATGCACAAATATCTGTGTGTGCGCCTCAGAAGTGTACACACACACAACTTCAACATGTTTAAATTGGCAAGGCTTAAAAACGTGTGCAAATTACAAAGATTTGACCATGCAGCACTGGCCTGATTACAGTTACAATTCCTTTAACTGTCTGGATCGTCTTTCACGCTGCATCTGCCATGTTAAACATGGAATGAATGATTGTGGCTGTGTTCAAAATCATCTCCTATACACTCATTCACTATTCCCTATTACTAATATAGTCCTCTTGAAGGAGTGAATAAAAACGAGTGAGCGAATTTGGACACTGAGTGTGCCGGAGGGCCTTTCGTAATTTGTGCTTGCTGTTTAGTGTTAAATAATTATTTTAAGCTTAGCTCCAGTATTAAGATGAAAATCTTGAACAATTTATAAAGATCTATTAAAAATGAATGTACACCTGTATGATATTACGTTGTAGCCATGGACCAGCGTTTGGAAAATGGATGGATAGATGATTCCTCTGCGGTCACCACATTCTGGTCAGACACAGGAATTCATTTGGCATGACCCTTACAGTGCATTATGGGCATTCTCTAGTCAATAAGTGTACATCAGTTGTACACTCATTTTTGCGTAGCATTATGTGATTGAATGAGCACACTCAAACAATGTCCACAGTGGTTTCAGACACCACTACAAATGGCTGTCCCCTCATTAGTGTCGTATTTTAGTGTTTAGTGCCGTATCTCAAAAGGGTGATTTTGGACATAGCCAGGATTCCTGCTGTAACATCCTACACGGTAAATGAGAGGATGACATTTAGTGGAGAAGACTAGCAATAAGATTAACGTCAATCAGACATTGTTCAATGTTTGTGGAAAGAGGTTTATGGCTTTTGAGAACTGATACTGAATCGACAAAATTTTAATAGAAAAATCTTTTTTTTTTTGCCAAGCCCTATCATTAAGTGTTTCATTTTGTGTGCCTTTTATGAATCAGACGTTCAACCAACAATCACTTGGACAACTTTAGAGAGCATCTGGTGGAATGGTTGCTTTTTTTTAAGCGCCTTGTAATGCATATTATAATTTCCTTTGAATCAGGTGTAGGCCTAATTGAAATACTGTTCTGCTAACGGTTTGTCTTCTGTAACCTTTGACGAAGTTTTTAATAGTCAGTGTGGGCGGCCTTGTCTTAAGTCAGCATGGGCCATTTTGATGCTCCTTTGTATTACTATTAACCTCTGCTGACAATGGCTAAATTGGAGCTTGAGATGACTCTTTCCCTCTCTGCATTCATCTATGAATGTTTAACCATGAGGAGGATGCAGATACCAAGCAGTGGAATGTGAAAAAGGTGATTCCTGCCTTGTCCTGGCTAAATGGAGAGGAGGAGGGGATGCAAACAGTTTTAAGTAAACCAAGGATGTAGTCCGTGTGCCATTAGAGGTGGAGGCTTTGTGTGTCTCCTCACCGGGTGCATTGTAGTTTGAACAGGGAAATATGACACTCTATTCAGACAGCCTTCTTTATAGGAAAAGTGTTGTTGCCACATGCCTGCCATCTGTTCTCAGAATGCTTAATCAGAGAGAGTTAATTCAGATGTTTGAACACACTCCTCATTCAAGTGAGAGTGTTATTAAGAGGAGCATGGAGCTCCATTTTGCCTCTTTCCATGCTGAAAGGCTGTTTTAGTTGTTCCTCCTGGCTTGTTCGGTTTGTGTTTCCAGTCTATGCTGACAAAAGGAAGCTCAAAAGTGCAGTCCAGTCAGTATATTTCTACATTGAGATGTTTGACTGCCGATTTTTCAGTACTATCTGTTATTGCCTTGTGTTAGAGATTTTTATTTATCAATTTCAGTTCATATTGGAATACTTATTTGTACTCACCGGTACTTGTTTCCCATTTTTATTTGTAGATACTGTATTTTTGCCATCATGTAACATAAGTAACACACACACTGAATTTTTATCTTGAAAAACACTAATTTAATAACACTGTTAAATATAATATTTGACAAATCTCAAAATAAATTTCTTCATAACAATTTATTTACAGTATATATCTACAATTTATGTAGGTTTTTATTTAGACATTTATTTTCAGACAGAAAAGAATAGGATTTTAAAATCCTGACAACTTGGTTGTCTATTCTCTGTATTTAAAAGAAATGGATTGTCTTCTCTTTCATCACCAGATGTTTGATATCCTGTGAACTGTGAATTCTAAATGTTTCAGTTACTTTTCAAAACACGTTTCTGTGCTGCCATTTGCCCTAGCGTACCTGTAATGTATTTTAACATTGGTGAGTCTCTGGGGAAGAGCGGGTCTTTTGTGAAGCAAGCAAGGAATCCAGTGGCTGTAGGTCTGTTGGCTTCACGCCCTGACAGGGTGGAGAGGAGCCGACAGGCTTTCTGAATAACTGTACTGAGCCCTGAGAAGCTGCCAGTGGATCAAGTTACTGACTGGAAGAAATTGTAACTGCTTTGTCTGCTGGAAGGACTCACTGATCCATGGGGCTCGCTATGGGGCCGCAGGCTTGGTTATGGGGCCCGCTGAAGAGGTACACTCTGGTGCTCCATTGACTTCTGTTAAAGAAACAGAAGTAAAACAGTAACATTTGAATTGGCCAATTGTAACTCCTTTGGTTTAAAATGTGCATGTGCAACATTACCTAGATTAGCAACGGTCATTCTGGTGCCCTTTCACCTGGAATTGGCATGCATTTCTTGTTGTCTCTGCAGCATGATTGAATTGAGATCTGATCGTACTGGCTATACTTATGCTGGTTGTTGTGTTAATCAAACAGTGTCTGCAATTTACTGAACTTAAAGACATTTAAAGAATGCATTCTGCCATTTCCTGTCAATACAACTCCTCAGGCATTCAAGGTAATTTCTCGCATTTCTTAGGTGACGTAACGTGATTTATTAGCTCAACCGTATTACATATTACTTGCGTAGTTGAATGCACTTCAAAAAATGCATTTGTGTTTACACCTTTATTTAAATGTGGTTTTTGTTTCAGCGATCAGATCATAATCCATAAATAATAATGTGACTTGGCTTCTGTTGTAGTCTAGTGGGATCCCAACCTGATCCGATCACTGAGGGGTCATAAGATTGCTGTACTCCACATTCACCAAGATAACATTTTTGGCTCTTTCACATGATGGATGCATTTGAAGAGAAATGAGAACATTTTTGGCCTGATAATAAGCCTCAAATAAATGAATATTTGTATAAACTGTGAAGAAAAAAATGTGCTAGCTGGCTGCAGGCCGGAGATGTGTTCCCTGTTTATTATGTCTATAATCCAGTTGTGTAGAAGCACATTCTTTCCAAGAGTGTCTGTATCAGACTCTGCTTATAAAATACCTTTCACCCTGAATGCTGTTGATTGCTGTGGAGTGCATATGAGGTTTAAATCAAAATACCCCATGATATACAGCTCCTCATTGTATCTTTTCTTCATATATTCAGGGTCAGAGGTCATTTCCAGCTACAGCAGCAGTAGCAGCAGCAGCAGTAGCATCATGGCAGAGTCGGTTATACAAGAGATGCCCCCGGCCATGTGTCTGGAGAAAGCCAGTGTGGACTTTTGCTACGTGGGCATCGATGCCATCCTGGAGCAGATGAGGAGGAAGGCCATGAAACAGGGATTTGAGCTCAACATCATGGTAGTGGGTGAGTCAACATTTCAGCGTTGATCTAGAACGTATTACTCAGATACATATAAATGAAATAGTTGGACTTTAATGTGATGCTGGATTTCTAGGCAGTTGATTTTTTTTTTTTTCATACCTCAATAGCTTTATTTTAGACATTTTAAAGTCTACAATTTTATTTTAATCCCCCAGCACCATTGGTCATTTTAAAAATGACTTTGCTATTAAAAGAGATCTTTAATTTAGGCATTTTGGTGAGACTGTTTTTAAAAAATTAATAAAGTGGAAGTGCCATAATTTCTAATTGTAAAGATGCATTTAATTACTTCAACCTTTAATAAAACAAGCTAATGCTAATCAAAGCTTCAATTTTCGATTAACACTTTAACAATACACGTAGGCTTTCATAAGCAATGCTCAATTATGTGCCACAAGTCATGCTGTTATTCCGTGTGCATTTTTGTTTGTTTGTTTTTTGCTTGAATGCCTTTGTTCATGTTTTTCTTTTGGCCCATTGCAGCATATCAATTTGTGTATTTTAGTCCATTAGATGCATTGTTAATGATAATGAGGTTTATTAGATTCACAAAAGTGAAATAATAACATTACTGAAATTAAACTGACACTCATGAACTGATTCACTGATTGTTCTTCTAGTGCTCTTAATGTGTTATTTGTTGTTTGCTTATGTTCAGAGAAAAGGTAATAGTTAACAATACTTGACAGGCCACATATTTTAGGAGACTGAAATACCCCAAACCAGTTAAGCTCAATTCACCAGAGGCCGACAGTAACAAAGTATGTTTACTTGAGTACTGTTCTTAAGTCCACTTTTTGAGTATCTGTACTTTACTTGAGTATTATTTTTTTCTGTAAACTTTTTACTTGAAATTCACTACATTTGAAAGGCAGATGTCATACGTTTTAGTCCACTGCAATTCTGTCAAGGTCCTTCAGTAGAAAGTAGTAATGTTACTAAGAGGATGATTTTGGTTGCAGGGGTTGCATTTTGGTTGGAAATGAAAGTCTGTTTAACGTCAGAACCCGACGTTGGATTGACCTCATCATCCGATGCCGGATAGACTTTGGATTTTTGGTTGGAAATGAAAATCAGGTTGACGTCAGAACCCGACGAAACTCAATTTTAATTTTTCACCACAATACGTTGTCCAATGTTGGAGATAAATGCCAATCTGGCGTTGGATTCTGACATCAACCTCATTTTCAGCTTTGGGTTTGGTCGTCTACATGTGAATTTTTATAGATAACAGTAAGGCTAACATACATTCTCACATTCAGTCCCACTTGGAATTGTGCTCTAGAAATAAATTTGATATTGATATGAGGGTAGGCATAGGATATGTTCATGGCAATAACAAGTTCAATATGTTCATGTTCAATAACAAAACAATGCATTGACATTTTACTTTTGATACTTAAGTAGTTTTAAAAACTTTAAGTACTTCTGTATTGTACTTAAGTAAAACTTGGTCTGGAGTATCTGTACTTTCACTCAAGTAAGGAAGTCTCAGATGGATCTGAGAGTGACAAACAGTAATGCTGTTAACACCAATTCTAGGTTAGTAGAGTTTAGGTAAGGGGCTATAGTTTCAGTGTTGTGTTGGCATGTTTGCGCTAAAAGGGATAGTTCACCCAAATATTAACTTAAGATTCTGTCATCATTCACTCACCCCCAAGTTGTTCCAAACCTGTATTCATTTCTTTATTCTGCTGAACTTTCTTTTTCTGATTATGATTCAGTCTTCACATTTCCACAAGAAACTGAGAAATGCTCACCTGTGCAGAAGTTGCTGCATGTATTAATGGTTGCCAGGGTGTTGCTATGCGGTCTTAGGGTTTTTATTATGTTGCTACAACATAGCTCAGTTGTTCTGGGTGATTGCTATAGTGTTTCTATTTGAGCCAAATAAGAACAGCTCAGTTCGATACTCAAGTACCTAGATTAGTCTGTGTGATTATTTTCACCCTTCTTTATTGTTTATCAAATCAGTCAAATCAACTTGAGCACGAAGCAAATGAGCTATTTAAGTATGAGCTCATAGTGATGTTTACATTACAAACATAACTAATTAGCAATAAGCCATAAGAGGCCACACGAGTTTTGCAGTATTTCTCCAGCAATATGAGAACCAACCAATGTTCAATTAAGATTATTTAAAGATTTATTAAAGTTCACAATAAACAATTCTTGCGTTTGGTATTGCAGTCAACCTAACTGTAAATTGTTTATGGTTGCCTAGCAACTTGGTGCAATAATATACAACTGACGTGCAATCAGGATGTGGCTCACTCAATCCAATTTTTAGAGCCAAAAATATACTGTTGTTTTGCTTTTGATCACAGAGCAAACATGAAGTTGCTGAAGTCTTACAGTTTGCTTATGAAAATGGTTTATGGGTTAATAGCTTGAGACCGCTGAAGTCTGAAATAAGAATGTAAATTAGGGAAAGACGTGTATTGAATAATGTGTTTTAGGGCATCACCTGTCCTGGTGGTATTTTTCTGTTTCAGCATTAGCGTCTCAGAAGACACCGTTCTTCTATTGAACTATGGAGTTTACAAAATGAAATGTTTGCGAGCTCTGTTGAAGACAGCAAAAATGAACCTGTATTTGAACAAGGCTGCAGCTGGGTTCTCACGTGTGGCTCTTTGGGTCAATGTGGCCAAACCTGCTGTTGACTCAACCCAGTCAGAGAGGAGAGAGCCAACCCTCGGGATCAGCATTGCCGTTCCCAGCTGCAGCCTGTTTATTCTGACTCCTGTCTCTCATTGCATCACATTTTCGGGAAGGTGTCTGAAACCTAAAAATTGCTATCTTTTATAGGCAGTATACAGGGGTAGGAAGGCACATCTGATCCAATTCCAGCTAAAAATTTTATAGTGATATATGTTTTGGTCATAGTGCCCACCCCTAGCAGCTGGATGACAGTGTGACAGTGTGTTTAGAGAGAGAAAATTTGCAGCCCTGCCCGTGCAGAAAGGAACGGAGGCCCTCATTACTAGTGTGATGAACCCAAGGCTGACGGATGTGGGATAGCGGAGGGGTAAAGAAAACCACAGCTAAACACAAGCTCCTGTAAGCAAAAGCCAAAGGAATGATAGTTTCATTCAAACCACAGGGCAGCCTGGTGGAAGCATCACTTGTGATCTGTGAATGAATAAGACCTACTGGGTATATAAACAATATTAAACTTCCTTGGAAGTTTTCGGGGTTTAATGTTTTGCGTTGAATTTATTTTATTTTTTTTACTTGACCATGGCAATGATCAAAAGTCACCCTGTAGTCAATAATTGTATCCCTTAAAACTCATCTTTGATCTTGTCACCAATCAAGAAGAAAAAAAAATATTTTTCTCCATATGCTAAAGCCTGCCCACAAGTTGTTCAGTGTTTCCTACGACCACATATTATTATATTATTATAGCAATAATATTGTTATAATAAAACAAACGCACTGAAAAATAAATGAAACTTTTATAATTAGTTGTGTCCTAATCTCTATGCATGATGCAATAGGTAAACATGTGAGCTTTTATTTTGACATTTGAAATATATTATTGGGCCGTCAATGTATAATTAATGAATGGGAAGCACTGAAATCTATTTGTGGCGGTCAATGTTGTTTTTGTGGTGGGCCAACGCAAATAATTAAATGTATAGGAAACACTGATTGGTTACAAGGTAGTTTGTGATGTCAGAAACACCAGCGATTTCTAAACATGTTTTTGAGACTGTCTTTGGTTCACTGCAGTTTTAAGGAGAAAATACTCAGCAATGGTGTTGACTTATGAATTTGTGCATTGTTTGTCTTAAAGCATTTTAAAAAACACCACATAGACATATAAACAACATGACTTTCACCACAGGGGGGTCTTAAAAAATAAAATAAAATAATTTCCTCTCTCTGCATTTTACCTTTTCTCTAGCTTGTGTACTAATATGGATTATAATTCAAACTTGACATTGTTTTCTATAAATATTATTGACTCTTATTGATTTAAGCATTTGATATGTAGCTTTGTGTTGATGTGCAAGCATCTTCTTTCATCCCCACAGAACGATAATCCAACCACCACACGTCACAGTGGGAACGGTGTATTTGTGATAGTGGGCAGCGTTTGGCTTGCTCTGGATGGGGTTTGGTCTGACAGACAAAAAATGGCTCAATTTTGGTCTCAGGAAACCATTGAAGCTTTTTCCAGCTGGGTGCAGTGTCTCCCACATGCCTTATGGCACAATGTAGCCGAGATGCCATGTGACATTTTTGAACAGTGGCTTTCTCTTCACCACCCTCCCTTCAAACTGTGAAGCTTTTTCAGTCATTAAAGCTGAAGTCTCATTGAATCATACTCTAGAAAGATTTACAGTTGTGTCGTTATATTTCTATTTCGTAATGATTGATTTGATGATTGTTTTATTTGATATATCTTGTATAGATCTATTTACACTTTTATATTAAAGAGAAGTAATTAGTCAAGTGTTTAGTGCCATTTTGAAATCACTGAAGTGCATATTCTTGTATCTCAGTTTCTTGTAGTCTGTCCTCTCTCACAATCCTTGTAAGCCAGGAAACAAGTAGACAGCTTTTGAAATTTAAAGAGATTTTAAAATACTAGGCATTATACACTTGTAAAATGTAAAACTTACAGAGAAAAAAAAAATCTGGCCATCAGACACTAAACGACTGAGAATAAGTTATTCTTAACACAACAAACTCATGAAGCAACATGTTCCTCATTGCAATGAGATGCATTACAGATTAAAACAATGTGTTATTAGCTCAATACATCAAACCCCTCAGACTGGATATGGGTAAAATCTGTCAACTCTGACTGTCCAAAATCAGCAAAGTGGCTCTGACTTTCGGCAGCCAGCGTTGATTCGTCCAGACTTCAACTGAGGGCAAAACTCTGAGCAAAATAAGTGCAGTGTGTTGCAGCCTTTAGTTATTGGGTTGGTAATGTGTATTATGCTGCATGTGTACAGGTCAGAGTGGTTTAGGGAAATCCACACTGATGAACACGCTCTTCAAGTCAAAGGTGAGCCGTAAGTCTTTCCTGGGCACTGCTGAGGAAAAGATCCCTAAAACCATTGAGATCAAGTCCATCAGTCATGGTAAGTCTGCACAGCTGGATTTTCTATCATTGTCCATTAGTGCCACTGGAATGCAATAAAATATATTAATTTAATTTCAGATATTGAGGAAAAAGGAGTTCGAATGAAGCTGACAGTCATAGACACACCAGGGTTTGGCGACCAGATCAATAACGAGAATTGGTAAAGACCGTTTGTTTGTTTGTGACCTTAGTTTTAATAAACTGTACAATTCAAGGACAGTCTAAAGCATTTCTGTTAGTGTTGGCGGTATAGTTTTGTTCTGGGCACGCTCTATTTATGTAGTCATGCTTGGATGCAAAACAGCATTCAGACTCCCAAAAATAAAATTTCTCCAACCATCAAAGTGATGGGGACCCAACTACCAGGTTCTGAAACAATTGCTCCAAACGAGCCAGCTGTGAAAATGAAAGTGTCATTACTCTCTCTCTCTTTTCAACAGTTGGCAGCCCATAATGAAATTTATCAATGACCAGTATGAGCAGTACTTGCAGGAAGAGATTAATATTGACAGAAAGAAGAGGATCCCAGACTCACGAGTGCACTGCTGCATATACTTCATACCACCCACAGGACACTGGTTAGTAAACATACATCTATGTACTTTTTAGAAGTGGCATTATGAACTTGAAACAGATGGATATGTGGACCTAAATACTGGATATGTGTTTGCATGTCATGTTGTGGGTTTGAATACTCAAACCATGTGTAAGGGCGTGCATATACCACATGTCTAGTAACTAATATCAGTTTTGTTTTGTTTTTTTGCATGAATAAGTTTTGTACATGTGTGCATTTATTCAAATGGGGCCTGCCTAATGATATTTATGTTCAGTAAGGGGGAAACCTGGTGGAAAAGGAAGGTAAAGAAAGTCAGGGCCTCCAGAGGGCAGTACTGATCCAAGTGATGTTCAATTACAATTGTTTTCAACATTGATAATAATATATATTTATTGAGCACCAAATCAGCATGTAGAGTGGTGCAAGTATGACATCAGAAATTGTTTTTATGTTTTTTTTTGTTTGTTTTTTTTTTTTTTTGTAAAATAAAGCCTGTGGTACACATCTTATCGATACTTTGACATTATGTCCTACAACTTAAAGGGTTAGTTCACCCAACAATTAAAATTATGTCATTAATGACATGAGGGTGAGTCATTAATGACATAATTTTCATGTTTGGGTGAACTAACCCTTTAAACTGCACACACACACACACACCATTACTGTCTTATCTAGTTACTTATTAGAAACATACGTTTTCAAAAATAATAAATAACAGCTTCAAATTCACTTTTTCACTATGAGTGTTTACAGTTACATTTGTAGAACAAAACCCTAAAGTATCAAGTTATGCTGTTGAGTTTTATTTTATTTTTTATTTTTGTTTAATTGAAAAAGGGACAATGTACACTGATCAACATTCAGAACAAACGTAAGTGCACCCGAGTTATTAGCCACAGGCTAGTTTTCATCGGCAGTCCCTTTGCCAGATGTTATTGGGCATCCTAAAATAATACATTTTTATAATGCAATAGAATTCTTTATACAATAAACAAAAAGTTTAAAAAAGAAATAGACTGTGTTAAAATTACAAGTGGAGTCACCACACTTCCTATTTTTACAAGACCTTGTATAACACATTAATAACACTGACCTCTGGCTGGAATGGCAGGTTTTTAACAACGCGACTCTTACAGAAACATTTAGCAATCCAAACAGCAATTTTTTTTAACTGAATTTCAATACATGGTTCTTTGGGATATTAAAACATTTTATAGAATGAAATATGATTTGCCCTCCTGAACAGCTACTGTTTACTTCAGAGATTTGTAGTCACTGTTTACCATTAGCAGATTTCGTTTTTACATTAACATCTTTGTGCCAAATTAAGTGGGTGGTCTTTTCTGTTATTTGTCTCTGATGGAGAATCATTGTGTGTGCTTGTGTTTTTATAGCTGTTGGACAGCATGAGTCTCTCCAGACATTTTGATTTATTTCTCATTTATTACAGGAGAATTTGTAGCTTTTGTAACATTTATAAATGTCAATGCTTTCACTTTTGATCAATTTAATGCATCCTTGCTGAATAAAATAATTCATTTCTTTTAAACAAAAAAGAGTCCATATCTCCAAATTCTCTGAGACTTAAGACCATGTATTCATTCATCTATTCATCTTATTTTGAAAAAGATCTAAGGACTCTGAACGCACATGCCATCCACACACTCATGGATTTGTTGTGTCCTGATGCCCCCAGAGAGTGTGCTGTGGGCCTTTCTGTGGCCCGCTGTGAATGTCTGACTGTTTCATGGCTAAACTTGGCTAATTGGAGTCGAACAGTCACTCTGGCAGGAGATCTGTGTGCCTTTTTATTCTTCACTTTTTTCGTTTCACAAAGTTCACCATTCACCTTCTTTTTGAATAATCTTTCCATCCACAAGCATCTTTAGAGCATGTCATATCTTAGAGCATGTGTATTTTGGGTGTTTTCCGCCCTCTGGTGGTTAAGTTACGGCCCTGTTAACAGTAATGTAGTTTTCATACATCTATTTTTCCTGTCATTTCCTCAGTCTTAGGCCTTTGGATGTGGAGTTTATGAGACGTCTAAGCAAGGTGGTGAATATCGTTCCTGTCATTGCTAAGGCTGACACCCTGACTCTGGAGGAGAGGGATTTCTTCAAAAAGAAGGTGAGCTCAAGTTTGACAGACAGATAAATGCTTAATGTTGTTGCTCTCTTGTTTATTAAGTGAAAAATCATGCCACTATACTTACTTATTTTTTCTATTGTGACAAACTATAAACTAACTTGACTGACTGCCATGTTGTAATTCTGGTCATTTGTTAACACAACATTAACTTTTTGTCCAGATTTATACTTTTTTTTTTCAAAAATTCATTCTTACATAAAGTGGCAAACCAGTGTTTGCTAAGTATTTTTAGAATTAAAATATCATTATAAAGAAAACATATTTAAACAAATTAAATTCTGGAAAAGGAGAACCTTAAAGTGGTCCTGTATTACTTTTTCAACTTTAGATATTATAACAGAACTCACTTTCCAAAAACTACAACAAAAGGCTCATTTGGACTACATGTTTTTTTCCGGATCTTATGAAGTCAAAATGTTCCTCATTTAAATAACCCAATGCCAACGGAATATGCACAAAAGGGGGACAAGGCCTGGCTGAGCTGCATTATAGAAGATAGTGTAGTCATGGTGTCAATGAAATGGTGTTTTGTCCCCGTTTCCAAAACCTTTCTAAAGCTGACAAACTTAAGAGTGGTTAATTTATTTTAAACATTGTTCCTGAACATTATAACCACAACATTTATCTGTGAGCTGCACATTTTAAGGAGAACAGCTTCTAGAACGAAAGAGTTTTCATTTTCTAGCACTCTTAATTAAAAAATCTTTAAAAAAATTAAAAAAAAAAACACTCTTTCATTCTGTGAAATCTGTGCTTGCAAAGTCTGTGAAAGAAATCCATTCTGCACAGTCCTCTTGATTGTTAACATTCTTAAGTCTAAATCAGGCTTGAATTGGTTTGAAATTGATGCCATCCTTAATATTTACATCCGAGTAGAGCTTGCGGTTATGAAGAGGTTTGACAACAACAGACAAAATACAATGTGCATCTGTGTGCAATGTGTGAAAGAACCGGTAAAGGCTGTCATGTTGTTACTCTAGCTGTAGTTGGCAAACTGAGTCTTTTTCTTCCCTAGGAGATTTCCCCAATTGCAGATGGTGTGTCCTAAAGCTTTTACAGAAACACTGCTTCCCTGTGAAAGCACTAATGCAGCTTTATTTATGATGGGATGGTGGATTACTTAATATGCATGGCAAAAAAAAACCCAACAACATCAGGGACTGTATTGGAAGTCCTAAAATTTCTGAAACAAAGCCACAGTGGACTAGTTTATGCAGTTTTAGAGCAGTGGCATGGAGCTGAGATGACACATGGTATGATGAAGTGTAGGTAAGAAACATCTGTTCTGGGGTGGTTAGTGGCGTTTCACATAGCAGTAAGGAAGTGCTCGGCTCCTTGTGCTTGTGCTGGCGTGCCTCTTACAGGAAGAACACATGCTGTTTGGAACACAGACATAGATCTTTCTCTGTTTTGGAGAAATCTGAACGATTCCAAAAACGTTTCTTAGTTCAAATTTCATGCAAAATCACAATATTGACGTATTAAAGAAAAACCATGTCGTCTTTAGAAACATTGATAATATCGCAAAATCTTTATCTATTATGTGTATATACTTTTCTCTTGAAGCACTGAACTGTTTTTCATTTTTTGTAGATCAGGGAAGAGCTTCGAGCCAATGGGATTGACGTCTATCCACAGAAAGAGTTCGATGAGGATGCGGAGGACAGAACAATCAATGAGAAAATAAGAGTGAGTTTGCATTACACTTAGAAAAGCATCCATAGTTCATTAAAAACATTGCAATATTGTCTGTATCCTTTCTTTTACCCTCAGGAGATGATTCCTTTTGCAGTAGTAGGAAGTGACCAGGAATACCAGGTCAATGGGAGAAGACTCTTGGGAAGGAAAACAAAATGGGGAACTATTGAAGGTATTGTGACTTTTTGTTCTCTAAACCTCTTTAGAGAAGAGATAGAGAAAAAGTGATTAGCGGACTATGCAGACAGCAACTTTCCAAAAGCACATCAAGGGAGCTCATTAACCACAGACACACGGCTATGAGTCAAATGTCAGAAAGCCTCATCAAATGAAGACCATTATGAGTCAGCAGGAATAATCACTCATTATCACTTGATTATTATTGGAGGAAAGCTCAAAAGAAAAGCATTAATGTAGAATATAATTATTTTGTATCATTGTAAATGCCATTTATTACTATAATTATATTATTATTAATTGTTATATTAATGATATTATATTATTGTCTTTTTCACGGACTGTGATGATGCATTTCCAGTTATCAAAATTGCAAATCTGGTCATATTTTATTTATTTTCTATTTGTTTTATTATACACATGTATAACCCTATGTTTTGTTATATTACCTTGTCAGTAAATGAGAAAAAATAGTAATAATAATAATAAAATGAATGTTGCTGTGAGTTTTCCTAATACAGTGGCTCAGGGACTGATGACAAATTTGACACCTTTCTCTACTCTAACTGCTAACTGCAATCCCTCTTTTGGAAACTCCTGGAAACTCTATCACTATCAAATACAATGCAAATGCAAATACGAAGATTATCATCTCCCATTTATTGCTATAGAAGTTTGACGACTTCTGCTTCTGAGAAAAGTGAAAAGGGTCTATTGTAGAGCAATATACAGCCTTGTTTGAATAGTAACTACATGTTTTTGGGCAGTCGATGTGCTTTGCTGCTCACATAGTAAAACTCTCTCATTTTTGGTGAGCTGTTTTGAGAGTCAAATGACTGTAATTATCCTGTAATCTTTTTGAAGAGCTTGACTCCTCTTATTAAAGTCTCTTTGAAAACCTTTCATTTCCTGTACTGGATGTCTGCTCCATGGAGGTTTTCTCATTCATGGAGTTTGACATAATCTATAATTCATAAACATTTTTTCACATCCAGGCATTTGTCAAGCTCTCATGATAATCTTTCAGGAAGGCTTTGGTTTAAATGGAATTACTAGAGAACAGGGGTGGTTGTCTTATCTTTGTCTACTGCTTTACCTAGTGAATAAGTGGTCTTTGCTTTTTATGTTGCTACAATTGGCTAGAGAAGAAGAACTTTCAAATAGGTCTAAAAAGTGCTCTATGCCTTCTGGTTTTAACTCTGTCTGTTGCGTTTTGTTGTCTATAGTTGAAAATATTGCCCACTGTGAGTTTGCCTACCTGCGGGACCTCCTTATAAGGTCAGTGGATTAAGTCAATGCCTGTTGTTTAACAAACAGTATTACAGTGTACCCTTGTAGAACTGTGCTTAATTTTGTTAAATGTGCCCTTGTAGTGTACTTCAAATCATAAAAGTTTTTGAATTAAATAAGTGTTATTAAAGAGAGTAAACGTTCATGACTTTTTTGCTGATAATTTACTCACCCCCATGTCATCCAAGATGTCCATGTCATTCTTTCTTCAGTCGAAAAGAAATGAAGGTTTTTGATGAAAACATTCCAGGATTTTCTCCATATAATGGACTTCAATGGGAACCAAACGGTTCAAGGTCCAAAAGACAGTTTCAGTGCAAACTATTCAAAGGACTTTAAACGATTCCAGACAATGAATAAGGGTCTTATCAAGCAAAACGATCGCTCATTTAAAAAAAACAAATAGCTACTGTACGTTTAATTTATAAGTTAAAATGGTCGCCTTGCTCTGTTAGGGTTAGGGTGTGATGCATGTTCGTGACTCTCCAATTCAAACTAGTTCATCAAAATGAACGAATCTTTTCCCGAGTCAACTCGTTCATTTCGTTCGTTGAATGAACCAAATGACATGAAAAAGATACAAGTTCGAACAGGAGAGTCACAAATGCGCATCACAGAATAGAGCAAGGCGACCATTTGATCTTATAAAACTTAAACTTTGTTCTTTTTTTTTTTTAAATGAGCGATCGTTTCGCTTGATAAGACCCTTATTCATCGTCTGGAATTGTTTAAAGCCCTTTGAACAGTTTGCACTTAAACTGTCTTTTGGACCTTGAACCGTTTGATTCCCATTGAAGTCCACCCTGGAAAAATCCTGAAATGTTTTCATCAAAAACCTTAATTTCTTTTTGACTGAAGAAAGAATGACATGGATATCTTGGATGACATGGGGGTGAGTAAATTATCAGCAAAATTGTTTTTTTTTTTTAAAGTGAACTACTCCTTTAACATATTAAGTGCAATAAAAAAGTGTACCTTGTAATGTCAAATTACTTTTAAAAGTACATTTTAAATCATGTTTTAATATTTTGTTGTTCTTTAAAGAAGTTGATGACTAAAGCACATACTGTACTACTTGATTATAATTTTAACTGAAGTGTATTACCAAATATTTAGTTTAAAATATATTAACTTTTAATATAATAAACTGCTACTTGATCATTACGCATTGCAATAAAAATGACATTTAAGTATGTTTTAGTTAATCACTCAATCCTTATCAGGACATCCAGCAGTGCCCTATAAACATATTTCAAAGACAATAGATTTAATAATGAATTTACATGTAAAGCTGAACTTAAGTATTGCAAAAAACAAAAAAATTCAGGTAATTGCATTTAATATAAATTTAAACCATAATACATTTTCATTCAATTGCAATTAACATGCAATTAAGTGTCCACAAACAAAACACATACAGTACAAAACACGTTTGTTGTAAAATGTAGATTATTTCTCTAATAAAAGTATGCTAAAAATGTACTGCTTTTTCACAAATGTACAGCTGCGATTGTTTATCCAAAAATGAAATTCTATTCTCATTTTCTATTATTTATTCTCTTAGGTCATTCCAAATCTGTAAATCTTTTTCATCTGTGGAAAACAAAATATCCATATCCATAAAATGAAAGTCCAAATGTTGTTTTGCACCGTTTGACTTCTGCTGTATGGTCAAAAAAAAATTGTTTAAATCTTATTTTGTGTTCCACAAATGAAAGTAGGCCATATGGGTTTAGACCTTTTTGAGGGTCATTAAATAATTGTAATTTTGATGTGGACTTTAATTCTGATAGTGTTAGTGACATGATGGGCTTGTTTTCATCATCATAACTCTGTGATTGGCTCATGTTCTGCAGAACCCACATGCAGAACATTAAAGACATCACCAGCAGCATCCACTACGAGATGTACCGCGTCCGTCGGCTCAACGAGAATAACACTCAGGCAAACGGCCTCGGCGAGCACCATCCGGCCTCCCACGAAATCTAGCGCCCCGAAATAAACAACATCCCCTACGCTCCTGTTCCTCACTCCTCTCCAATCCCCAACCCTCCATTCACCTTATACTCCTTTACGCCCCCTTCAATCAACCATGGACCTGAGGTGAAGAGGTCAATCAAGAGAAGCACATAATGTCTTTACCACCAAGCGACTCCGGCACAGTACTCTTAAACCCTCAAGCCATCTGCACGGGCACTGGAGGGACGAAGAGCTCAAAAATACAGCCGTTAAAGAGCTTCTCTATATACTGCATGCGTGTGACTCACTCTGTTGATGCTTCAGGTCCGTGCGTGCAGAAGTTGATTACGAGGCAGTTTCTGATTGGTCATGCAGCATCACTCTTCCTTTCGATATAGCCATGATTATTTTACAGGAAAATGCTCAGAACGCTCCTTTTATGTGATTCGTCGAATGCTATCTTAATATTTATGCTTAATTTTGAGCGAGACCGATAAGAGACGAGGCTAAGTGAACCCAGAGCTAAAGTGGCAGCACCTTTTAATATCCATTCCACTTTATAAAACTACAGGATATCTGATGTCTATATACATACAAAGCAAATACTAGTTTCCTACAACATTGGTTTCTGCAAATCTTTTAATGAAATCTGTGCAAATAATTACAGTATTGACTCTGGACCCCCAGTACCATGATAAAAACATAGTGATGAGGTTTGGGAATTGTGTTGTAAAGATTATCCAAATTGAATAGTATTTATGTGGATTAAATGAGATCGTCTCATAATTTATACAGGCGATCTTATTTATTGCAGAATGTGATCTGAACTGGACAGAGAATAGCGATGCCTTCAATGTATTTTAATGAATCGTTTAATTGTGTGTATAATGTCCACCTGGATCACTGTTTTTATCAGGCCATGTTCAGTGTCATTTATCTTAAACCTTCCAGAACGCCTCGTTCTCTTCCAGTCATGCTGAAAATGTGGAGATCTTGTCTCGTTTTTGTCTTAGCCTAGAGGAAATTTTAAGTGCCAAGATGTCTGTGTGCCTTAAAGCTGCCTGCCACGTCTGATGAGGAGCCACTTTTAACAACGGTGAAGTTCCTCGGGCTTTGTTCTTGTCTGCAATACCCTTTATTAATGCTCAGCATTGGGAAAATATCTTTGTTTTGTACTGTGCTGTATATTCATAGTGATGAAATTTTTGTATTGGTTTTCAAAGTAACACAAATAACTTTGATATCCTGTTATTTTAAGGAAATAAAGGTTTAAATGATAAATAATTATTTTGACTCTTTTTATAAATGTAATTGCTCAAATGATGTGGTCCTGGGACAGATTTGTTAATTAACAATGATTTCGGTTTTCCATTTTGCATCTAGGTGCTAAATTAAGTTGTCCGTCAGATTTAAATTACCTGCTTTTATTAAAGCCAAATCATATTGACATTTGCTCTTCAACAAGTATATGAAAATTGCTTATTTCTAATGCCTCTCTGCAATTCCTTTTATTAATAAGGTTATTGTATATTCATTGTCGGATACAATATTTGGCTTTTAGCCAATTTTATTTATATCTTGATCAGAACTGATTATAAGGTGTTTTAACAGGGCATTTATTTTACCTTTTTTTATCTTTCCTTTTTTATTTCTACTGTAATTTAGTGCAACGCTGTCCTTTCCTCTGGATCCATTCTGCTTTTTTAGCATAGAGATGAATTAATAATCTGATGCTTTTTTTTTACTTTACATGTACTGGAAGCCTTTACAGAATTGATACTCCAGATGCATGTAATTCATGTTTTTCAGCAGGTACAGTAATCATGAACAGCATTTTAGGTCAATGCTTGGACTAAATGGCTTACTTGAATGATGTATCTTACAGTAGAGCACAATCACACCTAAAGCACCTGTCAGTATCACACGTATTGAAATTGTATTTTATTGCCTTGAAATTCAATTATTGAATATTATCTTTCAGCCTTTTTTTAGAATCATTTAGGTGCTTTGAGTTGATTTCACCCAGGCATTTCCAGCACATATCTTATACACTTGTAAATGCCAAAGATGCTTTTAAAATAATGTCCTCTTTTGCTACATCATTCTATTTGTGATGTGTTGCATATCTGTTTTATGTCCTTCCCCATCCATCTCAAAATGGAGATGCATTCTTATCGCTGTTAAAATGGCAGCCCGTTTTCTCACCTTAACAGAAACAGATGGTGCCCTGCTTTGCTTGCACCTTATGTCTACACCTCTGCCTCTCAGCTCTCAGAACTCTGTTTCCCAGATTCCCTCTTTCCCGTATCTCACGGAATGAGACAGAAGGGCGTCTGTTCCCCACTACGGTCTGTTTGCTCTCCATCCATTCTGCTCCTCCCTTTATTTGCGCTTTTGCATGTTGCTGTAATTAAATTAATTTGCCATTTGAATGAGCATAGTTTGTGGATGCCATCTTCATGAAGATGAGAGAGCCCCTTGAGTGCACTTATTAGTGGGCAAAGCCCCCACAGTTACATTGCACTAAACTCTAAAGGTGGCATGTTTATTTTGCCCCTGAAGACTAATTCTTGATCTCTACTTGATGCACGTGTTTGTATTTGCGGTCACTAATTATATGTTGTCTTCTCTCATCTGCGCTTTGGGAAAAATAAAGTTGCTTAGCATGTAATGGTTGTCATCTGACCAGCTCCAGCGGTCGAAGACTTCATATTCTGTACAATACAGAGATAAACTCAATAATTGTTATGTTATGGCCAAATAAAATACTATACACTTTAAAAAAAATGCTGGGTTCGTTTAATCCCAATTTTGGGTCAAATGTGGACAAACCTAGCCATTGGGTTACAGTTTTAAATGACATTTTTAACCCAATGTTTGAGTTTGTCCATATTTGACCCAAAATTGGGTTAAAACAACCCAGTATTTTTCAGAGTGTACTAATTTCTCTGATGACTCTAAAATCATTTTATTATGGCTTGCCACTGTAGATCGTAAAGCCAAACCAGCGAGAACCACTGGTGTATAAACATTCTCCATTCTTTGTTTAATTATCTATAGCTACTGTGGGAAAAAGTATCAGTTGAGGAAAGCAATGGGGAGGCAACATTTGTTTTGACCACATTAATAAATATCTGGGTTGTAAAAAAAAAAATGCTTTGTTATGTTTGTATGGTACGAGTATTCATGTAAATACCAAATGTACAATATATATTGAAGAGGTGTGGGTAATGTTCCTCTGGAGAAGCTACTCGTCTGCATACACTCTAAACAATGCAGGGTTGTTTTAACCCAAATATGGGTCAAATATGGACAAACCCAAATGTTGGGTTAAAAATGTAATTTGAAAATTGAACTTTCACTTTCAACTGTATTTTGTTTTAATTACATTTTTAACCCAACATTTGGGTTTGTCCATATTTGACCCAAATTTGGGTTGAAACAACCCAGCTTTTTTTAGAGCCTTTGTTCAACTCTCCTGCATTATTTCCCACAATAATCAGCATATCCTCTAGCCGTCCTTGAGATCTGCTTCGTGGTGATTAGCAGAAAGTCGACAGCTCTAGTTCTGACTCCACCTCTCTAATCTGCATATGTTAGCTGCTTTAAAACTGTGTTAATTAAAACTGCCTATTTTCTTTTTTAAGGACCCCACTTTAATTAGACGCATTACCTGCCGTTTTGTTTTATATCACTGCTCAGAGCGGGCATGGTTGTGGCCACCTGCTGTCATGCTCCACCTTGCCCCTTGATTGTCTCTGCAGGCATCTGTGCCATTTGTTTCAAATTTGTTTTTCTTGTCTTTTCTACATGGCTAAATTTTCCTGTTGTTTTGACTCTACCTTTTCTGTCTCTATTTGTATCTCTCTCCCCGTGTTTCATGTGTCTGTTCCTTTATGTCTGCTGGCTCAATGCCAGGCTCTCAGACATGCAAGAGAGGGGTGGATGCAGCCATATTCAAATCATACTGGCCTTGATTAGGAGGCAGCAGCAAATTCAATTAAACTTGGTGTGTGTGTGTGTGTGTGTGTGTGTGTGTGTGTGTGTGTGTGTGTGTGTGTGTGTGTGTGTGTGTGTGTGTGTGTGTGTGTGTGTGTGTGTGTGTGAGTTCTGTCAAGTCAAGTGTGATATATTTGACATTTAAATTTACAGAAACAGTATTTACAAAAACAGATTTTGTTGTTGTTCCAGTAATGCTTTTTTATACATTCTTTCTTACATGTATTTTTATTATTATTTTAGGGCTTTCAAACGATTAATCGCATCCAAAATAAAAGTTTGTGTTTACATAATATATGTGGGTGCACTGTGTATAATTATGTTATATATAAATACACACATATGCTTGTATATATTTAAGAAATATTTTCATGTATATACTGTATATAGATTTATATATAATTTATATTATATATAAATATAAATATTTTATGTATAAATAATATTTTTTTTCTTAAATGTATACAAGCATGTGTGTGTATTTATATATACATATATATATATATATATAATTATACACAGTGCATCCACATATATTATGTAAACACAAACATTTATTTTGGATGTGATTAATCGCGATTAATCATTTGACAGCCCTATTTTATTTATAACTAACCATTTTTAACTTTTTTTCCATTTAATTGAAGTTATTTATTGTAACATTATTTCTCTTTTTTTAAAATGAAAATAAGCAAAACTTTGTGATATCAGGTGTCAGATTTTGAAATTGTGCTATTGCATGCGTGTTGTTATTTTACATTATAATTGTTTTTTTTCTCTAAACTGTTATTTCTTAAATTTATTTATTACTATTTATTATTTGTAATAAGAAAGATTTTGTAACATCAGGTGTCCGGAAATCAATGAAGTGTGGTGCTTTTCCTTTGTATGTGCAATGGTTTATTGTATACATAAGATCACAATTTGGAGAAATGCAGAGAGAGAGAGAGAGAGAGAGTCCTCCCTCATTTCCTTTTGATGTTATGGTTTTTCCTGAAGCTAATGGCTGAGAGTAATTACGCAAATCAGTTTCCAGTGTTCTTGCTGCCATAACATTGAGTAAGACAATTGTGTGGTTTTGTGTTGTGCATGTATACTAATTGTGCAAATGAGTTTGTGTGTTTTCATTAGTGTGTATGTGTTGTAGGTAAAGTAGGCACAAAGGGGTGGCATTCATTTATGCATTTACGGCCCAGTTCAAATACTGTATGTGCACAAGGTACAAACCTGACAGCATCTGTCTTCATCCTCCATGTCGTTTCAACTGACATTTCATTCTTGTAGGATTGCTCAGGGGTCTGGGGTCTTGTTAAAGAATGGAAAAAAGACCTAATAGGTGGCTGAGTGCATACGACACATTGAAGTTTTTGTGAGGCTGCTGGTGTCTGATTCTCTTTCTTTATGGCAGGGTCTCATTACTACACACCTCGGTCATATTAAAGGGACATTATCGAAAATGTATTTTCCATTCAAACGAAGAATGTATTCATTCCCAGTGCTTGATATTTTACAGCTTCAAAAATAAGTTTGAGCCTATGACTAATTTGTACAACACATGAAAGTCTTTTGAGTTAATGTTAACCACACATTTAAATTTTGTTTTAATGCGAAAAGCTGCATTCTAAAAACTCTTCAGAAATTCATACAGGATCTTCTAATTAGACTTTTTGCGTTGGTCTAAAGATTGAAGTTGTGTTGCATAATGAAATTTGTCTGTACGCTATAGCAACACCCTATTGTTACTATAACACAGACTGAATTTCTTATAATTTCTCAAGAGCAATAACTTCTAAGTTGGCACAATCACAGGCCACACAAGAATATGGGATGGTCAAAGTATTTGGGACGTCTTATAAGGCGTTCTGTTACTTTTGCAACTGACTCCATTCCACAATTTCATTTTCAGCTTTGTCCTCTAGATGGCTCTCTGATCTCCATCTATGGGCAAGAGCAGACCAGTGTGATGTAGTGAGAGTGGAGCAGTTCCTTTTACAATTTTTTTGGCACCCTGGTGTAAATGGCACTGGAAACACAGCAGATCTAGTTTGCACTCAAGTGCAAAAAAAAAAAAAAAATACACCAACATGCACGTTTGATTTTAGATAGTATGTGCTTTGATATTTTATGCAGTGGTGCCATGTGTGTGTTTGTCTGTCTCTTAGTATACATACAGTATATGTAGCCTACAGTATTTACGTTTGTATAAATATATGAAATATATATATATATATATATATATTATATATATATATATATATATATTATTAATGTGTGTGTGTGTG